AGGACCATCCAGGGGCAAGGTTGAGAGAGAAGTGTCAGGCTCATCTCCTGTGGGATTTTTACAGGATGGGAGTTGTAAAGTGCAGGCAGGCCGTGGGTCTCAAACCAGGTTCATTACCTAGGACACTTGTAATGCAGATTGTATCCATCTCAGGAAATGCTGAGTCAGTAAGTCAGAGATCACACATGAAGTACTAGCAGTTCTAAAATTTGAAAGCGATTGCCAAAGATGGTGTCAAACCGTGTTTTTGGGCCAGGTTGTTGTACTGTTCAGCTAGTTGCACATTGAACTAAAATATACTTTGACCTTGATGGTGGTAAAATGGGAAAAGTTCTGTTTTCTTTCAACATTGGCTTCAAATTTTTTCTGTATTGGGCTGTCTTAAATGTCTTTACCTACACAGAACCTAGCATGATTCTTGGAATGCCGCAGGCATTTGTTGAGTAATAACTGATTGAGAAGTTGCCTCACTCAGATTTTTGAAATAGATCAAAGCTCCTTAGTAATTACTTCCTTTTATTTGAGAATGGTAGGAGGGAAAGTGTCTAAAACTCTGAGTTTTCTCTGTGTTACATACTCTCCCCTATCAAAAAGGCATATGATGTGGAGTCTCTATGTCAGGAGAATTTTTTCCGAGAATGTGGAGGTGTTAGGGGATGTTTACCGAGGGTTTATTAAGTGCCGGATGTGTTCTAAGCTCTTCTCACATATTAACTCATTGAACCTTCATAGCAGTTCTCAAGTTAGGTGCTTTAGTATCCCCATTTTTTTAGATGAGAGTAAGCAACTTGCCAAGACCATGCGATTAGTAAATGTGATAAAATGATTTTGCATCTTTTAATAGGAATTTGTGGTCTGGGAGAGGTCTAGAAATTTAGACTATGACTGCCAACTTAATTTCCTAGTCTTTTTCAGGTAATACACTTAAATGGAGACCTCTAAATATTTAGAGCTTAAGAAGATATGGGTAAGCAAAGAACTCAGTACTGGATAAATTTGGGAACATTCTCATGATCATCATGGGCTTATGATATTTTTCACTTAACATACATAATTCCCTTTTTAACAAAGCTGTTAAGTGTATAACCCCTTTGTTAATAACCCCTTATTTTTAACTAATTAGAACTCTTGAAAATGAATATGCACGTTAAATCCTATAATAGAAAATAAATGAGCAAATATTCACAATGAGGAAATTTTTTTTGACAGACAGTGGTTTTGAGTAATGTTGTAAGTCTTGTAATACACGTGAAGGGTTGGATCTTCTGAAAAAGGAAAGGGAGTGGACATTTCCTGAAATGTAAGAGGATCCCAAGTTATTCTATCCGGCAGTTTTATAGTATATAGTATTTTAAAAACTAACAAACTTCAAACTCCCTGGCGTTCCCTGCTGTTTTGCAGTCTTGGACAACACCAGTGACTATTAAGTGCCATACTCACTAATTGGAAGAGTCCTTGCTTATGGGAGCTGTTCTAAAAAAAGGCTTAGTAGATGCTGGTCTTCATTCTGTTTAATTTTTTCATGCCTTTATAAACTCTTTACTTCCAGCCCAGTTTTTTCCATTGTCTTGGTACAAGTCAGCTGTGTCCAAGTTTGTTAGGGTTTCAACTAGCCAAAAAACTTCTTTTCATTTGCTGAAATTCTAAACATGATAATTAAAGCACAGGTGAGGGTCTAACTTACTTTGCTACGTGTGGGAAAGCCTGATTGCTGATGCCGAGAGCTAGCGCCTGTGTCACAGCCTCTGCGCGATTACTGCAGCATTGAGCTCTTTCTCTTTGCCCCCCCAAGGCTAACCTCCCAGAAAGCACTCTCCACCCCATATATTAAGTCACAGAATTACTAGGAACACAACTAAAGTTATTTTTCTGTGCATAAGAGTGATGTCATATGAGTCTTAATTAAAGAATATTGGAAGTTTATTTATTGCAGGACTTGCTGGTATTCTGAGAACGATTTCTAACGTAATCTAGCTTCACCTCAGATTATTGTATATTTAACTTGAAACTTTTAGAATATTAAGAGTTCAAAGAAGATAAACAAGGCTTGGAAAACTGACAAGTGTGTGTCCTGACAAAGCATGTTAGAACAGTTCCAACATGCTTTTTCCCACTAATGTGCACATTCTCTGATTACCAATCAGTGTAGGTTGCTTTCTTTTTCATTTCTTCAAGCCCACTACCACCACATCATCATTTTACTTGTTGATTTTGCTTACTGTCTATCTCCCACTCTGTGCTGTGAGCACCACAAAGGCAAGGATTTTTTTGTTTTGTTCACTGCTTTTAATCTAGTTTCTTTCTTTCTTTCTTTCTTTCTTTCTTTCTTTCTTTCTTTCTTTCTTTCTTTCTTTCTTTCTTTCTTTCTTTCTTTCTTTTTTGCTTTAATGTTTGTTTCTTTTGAGAGAGAGCACGTGCATGAGCGGGGGAGAGGGAGAGAGAATCCCAAGCAGACTCCAAGCTATCGGAGCCACTATATACGACACAGGGCTCAATCCTAGGAACTGTGAGATCATGACCTGAGCTGACATCAAGAGCCAGACACTTAACTGACAGAACCACCCAGGAAGGAGCCTCTTAGTCTAGTTAAAGCAGTGTCTGGCACATGATAGGTACTTAGTAAATATTTGTGGAATTATTACTAATTCTTTTTGTCCATTTTTGTCTATAAGATGGTTGGTCTGAGTAATCTGATAGTGCAGTCTCTATAAATCATGTAAGCTGAGCATTCCCTGTAAAGTGGATTCAGTTTTGATCATGTCAAAGTTCCACTCATGTTTGAAGGGAGGGGTTCCCAAACAGTTTTACCTAATCCAGATTTAATCCATTGAGCATTGAACTGATAGAAACAGTAACCAGTAAGCTCAGTAACAATACATAGCTCAGATCATGGAATGTTTCTGATTTAAGTGTAGCCTATAAATTAACTACTAAAAATGTAGTTCTTTAAATTACAGGGTTTTGAACCTTTTTTTTTTTAATGTTAATTTTTTGAGAGAGAGTGATCAGGGAGGGGCGGGGGGCAGAGGGAAGAGGATCCAAAGCAGGCTCTGTGCTGACAGCAGTGAGCCCAACACGGGGCTTGAACTCAACCAACTGTGAGATCATGACCTGAGCCAAAGTCAGATGCTCAACTGAGTCACCCAGAGGTCCCAGGTTTTGAACCTTTTAACCTATAATGCTGAGCTTCATTTATATTGTTCCCTTAATTTGGTCTTGTTGAGTACTCTATAATATTATATCATAGTATATAATGATAGATGCAAACCATCTCTGTCTACTACATTAGAAGTAAATGTGCATTCACCTTGCTTCAAATATTTTCTCTCTCACTAGTACAGTCTGTACCACCAAACTTTATTATTCCTCAGTTTACAAAGACTTTTTCCTCAATACCCAGATTCCAGTTAAACTATTTTAAAAGGTCAGATCCTATTACATGAAATTTCAGTGATGCATTGATGTGGAGGAACTTTATCATCTGGCATTTGGAAACATTTTTATAATAGTGCAATTTTATTTATTGCAGTAAGATACTTAATTTTCTTTTCAATCTTATATTTTGAATAAAGTTACAATTTTGCTTTCGTCAAGTATTCAGCTCCTCACATGAAAAAAAAAATACAAGCTGAATAAAAGTAATCCCAAAGGTTTTTCTTTTTCACATCTTCACAATTACTCATTGACACTCAAGGTGTTGCTGTCCTGGACCTGCTTAGCTCTCATCTGACCAAACTGAATCTTTGATTCACTCATTTGGAACTATTTATTTAAGACCTACTTTTGTTCCAGCTGCAGAGGTAACAACATGCACGAAAGACAGCACCTGCCCTTGGGAGGGTTGTTTTGATCTTTTCTCAAGTAAAAACTTGCTAGATTGGAAAGTTGGAAAACAATGTGATAAATCACTGGCTACTGTGGTATTAAGAACTGATAAGACTTAATGTATTACTTTCAGAAGGATATTTTCTGTTTTAAAAGAATTTCTGGAATTAATTCTTCCTAACCAAAAGACAAACCTCACTGATTCACACAGTTCAGTGTTGGTTAAATTGGCAAGTTGATGCAAGAGATTTTGAAGTCAGCCATCCTTTTCATACTCTTTAGTTTAAAATGAATGAGGCCATCTGGGGCTCTTGGGTGCTCAGTCAGTTAATTGTCCAGCTTAGGCTCAGGTCACGATCACAGTTTGTGAGTTTGTGTCCCGCATAGGGCTGTGTGCTGATAGCTCAGAACCTAGAGCCTGCTTCAGATTCTGTAGTCTCCCTCTCTCTGTCCCTCCCCTGCTCACGTTCTCCCTCTCTCTCTCTCTGTCTCTCTGTCTCTCTCTCAACAGTAAATAAACATTAAAAAAAAATTTTTTTTTAAGGAAGCCATCTGTACCTGAGACCAATCTTCCCTAGGATAGAATACAATAATTCTAGTCTGATTCTTAGACCTGGGAGGAATCTGCTATGTCTCCTGAGAATCAAAAGAACTGTAGTTGCTTTTTTTTTTTCCATCTCAGATTGTTGGACTGTAACAGTGGATTTGTAGAAGCTGTGTGTACTGAAATATGCAGCTTACAGATGAGAGCATATCAGTGCTTCATAATAGTGAGTTGTTTTATATGGATTACATTGAGTAGCTCTACCAAAAAAACAAAGGAAGGAACCTTCCCAGACTTTCCAATCTTTTTATACTTCTTTATGCTTTACGTTTACAATGGAAAAAGTAGACTGAAAAATATGTCATGAAATTTTGTCATTTGCAATTTGTAGCATGATACAGCTTTTCTGTTTGACTGTTGGCAATCTTATGCATGTTTTATAGGATTACTGTTGGTCCTTGTTTTGTTACATATTTACGTGTGTTGTGTGCGTGTATGTGTATATGTATATATACATCCTGTGTGTATATATATGTAACTTGAGAAATGAAAAGCATGCTGCTTGGCCTGAGTAGTTAATGTGTAATTGTGCCTGGTAAACAAACTTTTTTCTTTCAAATTCTGACCATAGAGGGATTGAGCTCTCTTTGCTCTGGTGAGCCACCTTCAGAAATTATGACTTCCTCTTTTTCATCTTCTGAAATGCATAACAATGACCTTACAATACTACACGGAGAAAAAAGCAAAGTGTCAGGCAGTGAGCCTATTTTAGCCAAAGAAGGAAAAGACTCCTTGGCTCTCCTAGATGTGAAAAAGATGGAAAAGCCTCAAGAGACCAGTAAAGACCTAGCATACTCCCCAGATTCTGTGGCAGAAGGAGTTCAGTGTAACCGTCCTTTCATTCCGGCCAATTTCCCAGATCGTCCTGCTTTTCTCTCAAAGGAAATGAGTCTACTGGAACAGCAAATAAATAAAGATCAAGAGTCCAAGAACCCAAATGAGGTACCAAGTACAGGCGGTAAAACTGAATTGGATGCTGATGACAAGTTCACTTTGCTGACAGCTCAGAAACCACTGACCCAGCAGTCTAAGGCAGAAGGCATTTGTAAATATTCCTTGTCCCCATCTGAAGTTTCAGGAGGTGGTGTTGAAAAGGATTCCCCTGAGTCACCATTTGAAGTAATTATTGACAAAGAAGCATTTGACAAAGAATTTAAAGATGTATATAAGGAGAGCACAAATGATTTTGGTAGCTGGGCAATGAACACTGATAAAGAAACATCTGCAGACATTTTAGAGTCTAATGACAAAGTATTTCCACTGAGAAGTAAAGAGGCAGGGCGTTACCCAACCTCTGCATTGCTCACTAGACAGTTTTCACACACAACTGCAGCACTGGAAGAAGTGTCTAGATGTGTGAATGATATGCATAACTTTACTAATGAAATACTGACTTGGGATTTGGTTCCCCAAGCAAAAGAAGAGAGCTGTAAGTCTGACTACGTCACAAAAACCACAGGACTTGACATGAGTGAATATAAATCAGAAATCCCAGTTGTAAATCTTAAAACTAACACTCACCAGAAAATTCCTATACGTTCTATTAATGGGAACACTCCCATCACTAAATCAGCAGGTGATTGGGCACAGGAATCCCTCCCACAAGAAAATGCTAACATTGACAAACCTGTACCGGATTGTCTCAATTCCACAAAGGAAGTCAATATCAAAGGTGTGGGAGGCCATGCGCAGAAACAAGATAACACAGTTGCAGAGTTCCCTGGGTCTCCATTTGACAAAGGTGTCTCTCGGGGTTCTGGAGTGGCCACCGTGAAAGTGGTTTTACCTGATGGCCACCTGAAAGATGAAATGAACTGGCAGAGCGCTGTGTTAGGAGAAGTGACAGAAGCTGATAGTTCTGGTGAGTCTGATGACACAGTAATAGAGGACATCACAACCAGTGTTTCATTTGAAGGTAAAAAAATTCAGGCTGAAAAACCTGTTTCCATTCCAAGTGCTATTGTAAAAAGAGATGAAAGAGAAATCGAAGAGGCTTTCAATTGCAATAGGGAAAACAAAACATGTGAAACCTTTGAAGGGCCAGTCAGTGACCCTGAGGCAGCACACGTTCAGCCTGATATTCCCGAAAGGAGTCCAGTGGGTGAGGCAGCATGTTCACAAGTACGTGATCTGAAGATCATGTCAGAAGATGTGCAGCAGTCAGGTAGTATGAGTGAAGCTGCTGCTGAAAAACATGTTGCAACTGAGAACCCAAAGCATCCTTCAGCTGTATCTCCAGGTGTTCTTCATGAGACAGAATTCTCACTAAATGTGACAACCTCTGCCTATTTGGAGTCATTACATGAAAAAAATGTTGAAGATGTAGATGATTCTTCCCCAGAGGACCTGATAGCAGCCTTTACAGAAACCAGAGAGAAAGGAATCATAGGTAAAGGTGAAGGGAATGCCTTTGACGCAACATCGGAGAAGACTAGGGACTTTAAAACAAGTCTTGCTGTGGAAGTCTTGCATGAAAGTGAGTCAGGTGGTTCTGAAATTAAAGACCGAAGAAGCGAACACATGGAACAAAGCAAAGAAACAAATGGAAGTGAGATTCTGGGTGTTTTCCCTGCCCGAGGTACTCCAGTGGCATCTCTTGACTTAGAGCAGGAAGAGCTCACAATCAAAGCCCTTAAAGAATTGAGTGAAAGGAGGACTGAGAAGTCAGCTTCTGTACAGGGTGATGTAGAATCTCCTCCTGAAGAAACACTCGAGCACACTTTCACATGTGCTCCAGAATCCTCTTGGCTTCAGAGAGCATATGATGTCCTAGAACACACAGAAGTTAACACTGGATCTGATCTTGGGATTTCCAGGAAGCCCACAATTGTCACAGAAACTACTAGGGTAGATATTATACCGAGCCTTAGTAAGGCTGAAGTGGTAAACAAGCAAGTCCTAGCAAGACTTCTGACGGACTTCTCAGGTAATCATTTACATTAGAAATACTGCATGTGATTACTTCTGCTGTGATTGATTATTTAATAGAATGCCATTTTTCTAAGTCTCTGACTTTATATCACGAAAATTATGGCAAGAATAAAAACACATTGTATAGTGGAGAAAGGTAAATTTTTTTCATGGTTGCTTGATTTGGTTTTCTTCTACAAATATTTCCCAAATCAGAACACTTGTTAAAATTAATATTATCCTTAAAACTTTTTTTTTATGCTCCAATTGTTTCAAGGTTCTCCTGTCCCTATAGGTTGGCCCTAGGGCGGTTGCTGCATTTAAGGATGTCATTAGGCATATATTTATTTACAAAGTTTATTTTTTTTTTAATAATTTTTAAAACTTTTTTATTTTAGAGAACAAGCACAAGCAGGGGAGAGGGGCAGAGGGAGGGAGGGAGGGAGGGAGGGAGGGAGGGAGAGAGAGAGAGAGAGAGAGAGAGAGAGAGAGAAAGAATGAATATCCCAAGGAGGCCCCACACTCAGCACAGAGCCTGATGCAGGGCTTGATCCCATACTCTGTGATCATGACCTGAACTGAAATCAAGAGCCAGTTACTCAACCAACTGAGCCACTCAGGCACCCCCAAAGCTTATTTTTAAATCTCCATAACAGTTGCACTGCTTAGCACTTGGGTTTTTTGCTGTGGGCCTTGTGAAACCTATTTAGCAATCAAAGATAAAGGAATTCCTGCTGGGAATGACAGCAAATGAAACTTTTAATTAATTTGATCTTATACTACAGAGATTTTATGTTCTGAAAGTAGGTAACCAGTATTATATTGTAGTACTGTTTTGTGAGTATTGCTCAAGAGAAGTCATGCATTCTTCTACTTTGGACCTTATTTAATAGTGTTCAGGCCAACATTTATTATGTGGTACTAGAAGCCCTTCCCATTGTCTCTGTTTATTTGATTACTTTTCTCACACTCCGCCTTCAGTTAAGTTACTTCAAATGCTATCTGTTCCGGGGTCTTAGAAGATGTAAGAAAAATAGGATATTCCAAGCCTTCCAAAAGGTACCCCCAACTTCTGATCTAAGCTCTATACTTACTATATGGTCACTCATAGGTGCTATATAGGGACCTGTGGTTGTCCAAACTTCTTTGACAGTAGATCCCTTTTTTCAAATGAAATCATACATAGAGTTACAATATTTAAAATAAAAAGATTTTTTTGTTAGGATAAACTTATAAATGTGATTATACTATTTTCTTTTATCCTCTTCTTCTTCTGTAAAGGTTTTGTTATGCACAGAATGGACAGGAAGCCCAGCCCTTAGCAGCCACTTTCCTATCCTGGTGGCAGCCAGAACCTGCTCAGCTCCTCTTGCTGGGGTGCGTCTCGTGAGGAGTGAAACACACCTCTCAGATCTTGTCTTGCACTGATTTGATGTGCTTGGTGGGGTTCTCATGCCAGCAGTGCTTTGGCTTGCTCAAGTTCTTGGTCACCTTGGGGCCCTTGTTGAGACCCATGACCATGGGGTCTGCAGAGACGTGGTTGCTGCTCTTCAGTGGCTGCTGAAGTGGAAGGGCACCATTTCCTTTATATTTCCTTTCTGAAGACCACAGGTGGTTTACTTAGTCTTTCTAAATTTTAATCTTTAATATAGAGATAATTGTGCTTACCTTATATTAATATTGTAGGGATTAAATGTGGAAATGCAGGTAATGCAGTGCTTAGCATATAATAAATACCGCATAGTACAGGACCTAGCATGTGGTAGGTATCGGGTAATTGTTAGTGAGTGAATTGATCAGTATCAGTGAAAACATTGAGACTGTTTCACAAACTAAAAAATTTGAAGTGACTGCTAAGGATAGCTGTTATCCTCTAGTGATTGAAGATTGCTGAGCTTGGATTAAGGAGTGAATGCTCATTGTTGCTTTACAGCATCTAGAAGTGTGGCTTTGAGCAATGAAGTTATATCACCTTTTGGGGCCTTAGTTTTCTTATCTATAATGTGAGAATGTTGAAGATTATCTTCAGTATCATTTTAATAATACTCTCTGACTGTAGGGGCTCCTGGGTGTCTCCATCAGTTGAGCATCTGACTCTTGATTTCAGCTCGGGTCGTGATCCCAGGGTCGTGGGATTGAGCCCTGCACTCGGTGCAGAGCCTGCTTAAGATTCTGTTTCTCTAAAATATAAAAATAATATTCTCTGACTCTAGATTTCCTCATGAGTTGTTGTTGTAATTCTTATAGGTTCTTTTGTGTGATGAGGCATATGGGAATTAGGCTGCAAGAATTCTGGTGTCTAATTTTGGCACATTCCTGCTTTAGCATGACCTTAGCTCATCTAACTGGTTCAACATCTTCCTTTGTTAATATGGCTATAATTATTTTGCCATCCTTTATAGTGTTGTAGTAAATAACAAACTGTGTAAATACTAATTATTACTAATTCTTAACTGAGTTATTTAATCTATTGTGAGAGGTGAAAAGGGCCGTGGAAGTTTAGGATATTTGTCACTGGCTAAATTCTGTGATTAGTAGATATATTTAGATGCTAATTAAAAACCAATATAATTAGATCAAGACGCTAAAAAGTCTTCCTTTGCAGGCTTCAAAACAAAAAACCTTTTTATTTATTTTTTTCTTTTCTTTTTTTTTTAAGTTAATTTATTTTGAGAAAGAGAGAGCAGGGGAGGGGAGAGAGGGAGAGAGGGAGAAAGAGACTCTGAAGCAGGTTCTGTGGTGCAGAGCAGTGGGGCTCAATCCCACAACCCTGGGATCATAACCTGAGCTGAAATGAAGAGTCAGATGCTCAACCAACTGAGCCACTCAGACGCTCCCAGAAAATCTTTTTAAATTGTCTTACTTTATGAATAAATCTTTAAAATGTAACTACTTCAGCAAAATACATCAGTCTCTAGTTCTAAGTAGTACATCTGAATAGCCTTCCTTTTAAAGTTAAACCAGTTCGGGACACCTGGGTGGCTCAGTCACTTGAAAGTCCAACTCTTGATTTCAGCTCCAGTCATGATCCCAGGGTCATGGGATCAAGCCCCACGTTGGTCTCATTGTGGAGCCTGCTTATGATTCTCCCTCTCTCTCTCTCTCTCTCTGCCCCTCTTCCCTTCTCATGCTCTCTCTCTCTCTCTCTAAAATAAAAAAATTTAAAAAGATAAACCAATTCTGTAATTATGTTCTGCCTGAAACTGTGGGGGGAAATAGGCAAAAGAAAAGTATTAACGGTATTTTATTTTTCTTTTGCTGTTTTATGATACATTGTGTATAAACTCCTAATGAAGCCTAATTTCATTCCCTTTATGATAACATTATAGTTTAACAACTGTGATATGAGCTATGATATAACTAATTGGGGAAAATTTAAATCTCTGCTCATACACCAAATTGAGTGAAGACCGTTTTTTGGATTTTAGTATCCAGATTGGCAAGAATGCAAGGATATAGGCAGGTATATATTTTGGTGATAGGTGTGTGTAAGTTGTGACAACTTTTTTGGAAGACATTTTGGCAATATGTAACAAAGACCTAGAATTGAGCTAGCAATTATGTTTCTAGGAACTTATTCTAAGCGGAAGAAATTGTACGTGCAAAAACAATTACAAAGATGTTTTTTGTAGTGCTGTTCAGAATATTGACAGGTATCTCAGTGTCTTAACAATTAGAGATTGGTAGAATATGTTAAGACCTATCTGTGCAGTCAAGTATGCAGCCACTGAAGTTGTTGCAGGTTTTTTTTAAGAAATGGAAAAATATAGGAAAGTACAAAAAGACATACACTCACATTTCTATATGTAGAATTAACTTCTATTAATTAACATTACTGTTAATGGTCATGATTGCCTCCAAACCAAGGAACCCTTTGATTACCACCTGTCCCACTTACTCCCTTCTTCCCTTCTCTGGAGGCAACCACCATCATGGACCTGATAAATGCTTTCAGTTTACTTTAAATGTATGTGTATGTAGTATTGGTTTGTGTTTTTAAACTTTTATTAATATTACCATCTTTGATATCCAACTTGTTTCATTCGACATTAGGGTTTTTTAATTCCTTCCATACTGAAATATATATAATTTCAAAGAAATGAATAATTTATTCATTTTGACAGCTGTGTAGTAATCCTTTTTATCTATGTTATTTCCCTTTTGATTAGTATTTGGGCTATTTTCCATTTTTTACTCTTAAAGACAGTGCTGAAGTTAACATCTTTGTACTTGTCTGGTTTTACACATATACAAGTATTTCTCTAGGGTCAGACTGCCGCTGCTCATCAATTTAACTTCTAGGTATGTGCATTATTTTTCTAGTTCTTGTCAGTTTGCCATCAGAGCTGGAGTTTCTGCTGGTATGTGAAAATGTTCATAATTTACTTTTAAAGATTTTACTTTTTTACATGATCTCTACACCCATTGTGGGGCTTGAACTTAACCCTGAGACCAAGAGTTGTGTGCTCTACTGACTGAGCCAGCCAGGTGCCTCAAATGTTCATAATTTATTAATAAAAATTGTATTATTGAATACCTTTGTAGAGTTTTTGTTATATGATGGAATGATTACAGTAGAAAAGCACAAGTTAGAAAACAAGATATTCAGAATAATGATTAAAAGTGAATCTATATTGGGTGCCTGGCTGGCTCAGAAGAGGATGCAACTCTTGATCTCATGAGGATAATGAGTTCAAGCCCCATGTTGGGTGTAGAAATTACTTAAATAAACAAAACTTTAAAAAGATTTTTAAAAATCTGTATACCCACACATGTGAAACTGAAGTAAATTTTTAAAAAATAACATCACGATGGTTTTTCTTGCAGTATGGCCAAGTAGGCTTTTACTGGAACTGATCTTTCTGCATATAACTATATATTCTGGACAAAATTGGAAGGAAAAAAAAGATCAGAAGGCCCTGGAAAATGAACAAAAGCAGGCAGATTCTGAAAAGGGACTGACACTTCCAAGAAGAGAAAACATGGAATCTGTTCTCCATGTTTACTGCTCTTAGC